TAAAAAAAGTCACATACACTTGAAATTATATTAAAACTGTTTTCTGTTTCCTTCAAAAACTGTAAGACTCACGTTACAGAGTATATGATGGAGACCCAGTAGTTTAGTGAGTTATGAGTTGGCCTGCTAACAGCAAGGTCAGCATTTCAAATCTATCATTGCTCTGCAGGAGAGAGAGGAGGACTTCTGCTCCTGTAAAGATTTACAGTCTCGGAAACCCCATACGTGGTCGCTAAGCATTGGAAGTGGCATGAAGGTACATCATTACCACTGCCACCACACAGCATTTTAATCCTGAACAAAACTGACTCTTAGACAATCTACTCAGCTCTTAAACTCAGTTTTAATCTGCGTGTTTCCCCAAATAAAGGATCCCAATCACAAGTCTCACACTTCCTGCTGTTATAGGGCTTATGGCTTGTTTCCTGTTGATAAGTCCTGAGAGCTACTTCAATATCCTCAGGAAAAGAAATAGTTCACTGTGTGCCCTGGGGAACTCAACTCTACCAGGAAAAGCTGTGCTCCTCATTTGACTTTTCCTTCAATTTCTTCAGAATTACTTATTATGCACATAAGCCTAGAAGACGTCTTCCATTCTTATAAAAGTAATTCATGTGACACTACTCTCTCTGATTCTCTCAACTGAAAGTTGCTGTCAACAAATTGTATTTCCCAATTGTATTGTTCTATTCTAACAACAATAATAATGTTTTTGGCATTACACAGTTATGCCATTCTCTTTATTTGCTCTTTAGAAATATTTGCTCATATTGTGGTCAATATTATCCATTTTATTATACAGATGAGGATATTGAGGGCAATGATTCAGAAAAGACAGCTCAAGAATTAGAATCTATCTATCTATCTATCTATACATAGATATGGTTTTTTTTTCTTTCTCACCATTTAAAATGACACTTTCTCTTAGGTCCCAGATTTGGAAAGAGAATATCTTCTAATAACTACCCTCCAAGCTATTCTCTTTTAAAGAGAAACTTGTCATCCATCCCCAATCTGTTCTTATTAAGAGTCTTTGACTCAGTATTAACTCATAATAACCCTGTAAAGGGTTTCCAACGCTGTAAATCTTTGTGGGAACAGAAAGTTGCTTCTTTCTCTGGGAGCAGCTGGTGGGCTCAACCTTGTGGTTTGCAGCCCAATGCTTACTACATAGTCCAGTGCATACTACAAAGTCACTGTGCTCCCATAGTATGCATTTATATAGATCGTCAGATACTTAAATGAATACTATGTACTTATTTTATAAAATACTTCACAAAATCATTTATAAAATGGCAAATTTAACTTTTTTACAATAATCATATTTCCTTTCTGCATGGGGCAAAGCTTAAATAACAAATACATAATTAAAAATTTGTCCTTCTTTATTTTTACATGTCTATTATATTAATCACAATTGTTGAATGCCCTTAGTCATCATAGAAAATATCTGATAATACTAACATACAATATAGACATCTCTCTACAATTTGTTTATGAGCACAGGTCTCTAAGAAGGTTGTTTATGTATGATTTCACTCTCCTACTTTTAAAAATAAATGACTAAATTCTCTTCTTTTTTTCTTTACATTTCTTTAAGGTCCCTTATATTTTTGTAGTGCAGTAAAATATACAATATGGTCTTTCTAACTGTAGTTCTTGTAACTATGCAAATAAAGTGTGGGGACATGCAAATAAAGTGCTTCTTACACACCAAGAGGATTGGAAAGCTTCTGAATGATGCAAATATGCTGCATGACATGCTTGTCAGGGTAGATTGCACAAATAAGGTGTTGTTGTTGTTAAGAGCTGTCTAGTTGGTTCCAACATATAGAGACCTTGTGTAACATTTCTAAGGAGTTTCTGGCAGATTAGCAATCCAGTCCTTATCCTATGGAACCATAAAGAGGGGATAGGTCAGTTTAGTCATCATGCTAGACTTAAAAGAGAGCCAATTGCTGAGCAGAGAGGGGAACTCCCTAACACCAAGAAGAGACAGTAGCAGAACATTTCTGTTCCTGAGGACCCTGGCTGAGAACCTCTCAGACCCAGGATACAGAGAAAAAGAGAACTGTGCCACAGACGACAGCAAGAAATGATAGCTGTAAGCAGTGGCAGAAAAATAGGGGCAATAGAACCATGAGACCAGCTGGATTTCCTAGTACACTGAGTAAGAAAGCTAAGCATCTTCAGGCAGGGCATGTGTTGGCAGAGTAGGGTGCCAGAACAAGGTGGAGGTAGGCTCTGACCCACAGATCTAACAGTTAAAGCAATTGCCCAAGAACACCCCCAGCAAGGTTCAGCAGCAGAGAGCAAGAAGAAGCTATCCTGATTAAGAACTATATTCTGATTTGTATCCTCTTACTTCCCTAATAAGCCCTTTAATCATGAATGGTGATGGTGATGGTAGTAATGGTGTGCCATTGAGTTGGTTCCAACTCATAGCCACACTGTAGAGGGTTTCCAAGGTTGTAAATCTTTACAGGAGCAGAAAGCCTCATCTTTTGCCCACAAAACATCTAGTAGTTATGAAGTGCTGACCTTGAGGTTAGCAGCCTGACTTATAACCATTACGCTTTCAGAGACCCCATCATCATGAATTGTTGTTGTTGTTGGCAGGTGCCATCGAGTCGGAACCGACTCATAGCGACCCCATGTAGAGCAGAACGAAACAATGTCCAATCCTGGGCCAACCTCACTACCGCTGCCACACTTGACACCATCAATGATGCCACCTGGCTGATCCATCTCTTGGGGGTCTTCCTCTCTTTCTATGACTCTTCATCTTACCCAGTATGACATCCTTCTCTAGTGACTGTTCCTTCCTGACAATGTGTCCAAAGTATGAGAGACGAAGTTTAGCCATCCTGGCCTCCAAGGAGCACTCTGGCTGCACTTGTTCCAAAACAGACCTATTGGTTCTTTTGGCAGCCCATGGCACTATCATCATGAATATGACTTGTGAATTCTTTGTGGCCATTGCAACAAATTAAGGAATCCAGTAGAGAAGTAGAGTGCTATAGGAAGAATGGTTCGTGTTAGAATTGATAAAAAGTTTGGAGAAATGAAGCATGGCCGACCATTGCTTCATAGGAATCAGTATTGGGCTCTTAATCTTGATTCTTCTTCCCGCTAAAATTAGAAGAGATCAGACACCACCACCATGACATTTTTATAATCTTATATTGCACTATATGTTATGAGAATAATTTTACATTTGCCTCATTTCAGCTAACAGTAACACTGTGACAAATTTATAAATGTTTCCACTTTATACTTAAGGAAATTAATTTAGTGAAGCAAAGTTACTTGCCCAGTAAGACTAAATACTAGCTTCAAGACTTCTATCTTTTGACCCCAAAAGCAAAACAAATCAATTACACAGTAAGTGAGCAAAGAATTTTAACCTGAAGAAATTTCCTACTTGATCAATAGAGTGTAAAACGGATAGGAACGTTCACAGGGGAGAAGTCTGCAAAATAATGATTTATAAATACCTGCAGTTGTTAAGTGACATTGAGTCAGTTCCAACTCAAAAGGACCCTGTATAGGGTTTCCTAGGAGTGGTTGGTGGGCTTGAATCACAGATCTTGAAGTCGTAAGTCCAGGGCTTATTCTACAGCACCACACCAGGACTCCATAAATGACATAGTCTTATTAATATAAACACAAAAATTTATTTTAATTGTATTGTTTCTTATCTGATGTCATTATACCACAAGATAGTAAATGCTGAAAAGAAAATAGAAGTAGCCCAGTTTCCATGGTTGAAAAGTCAAGACTTTAATAGAGTATCGTTTCTAATGTTTTACCCTTACAATCAATTTATCTATCCTTAGTGGAGTCTGATAGGGCCTTTTGTAATGACCTTTGTTATGTTTGTGCACATAATCTTCCTGGGAAAGAAGTGCCCAGTCAAGGCAAGATACTAAGATACCAAAATCTCTCCCTCACTTTCTATGAGCCTGATAGGAAGTAATCTGTCTATCAAAACTCTGTTTATTCATATTTTGTTGCATGTTAATGTCATAAGTTTTCCTCAAGGGATTTCATTTTAACAGAGTATTAAAATTGTTCTCTTGAAGACAACATGTATGTCAAAGAATTATTTTCTCTAAATCAGTACTTTAGTAGAGGTCCCACAAACTCTCAGTAAAACACAGAGAAGCAAAACACTGCTAAATGTTATGTTTGAAGAGCATTTCCACCCTGAATTTCCTCCCTATAACAAATCCATCTTAAAAGTATAGAGTTCACATTATACATATTTATTATTATTAAATATTTAGTACCTGAAATATATAAACATGGATCAAATAGACAAAAAGAGGAACTAGAAACAAATTATTATAGGTTCATATAAAAAGATTGTCTTTTTTTTTTGGTCTTCAATCTCTTGAAGGGTGCATTAAAAAAAAGAAAGAAAGAAAGAAAAAGCTGTTATTGCTTTGGTTCCAACTCATGATGGCTACAGAAGTTTCAATAGAAGACAGCAATTCTGATATGGAATTAAGCTGAGACCATGTCTTTCCTGGGAAAGCTTCCTAAGGAAATCAGTGGAGTCATAAATGGACTTGGAGAAGTATGCTTGTAATAAATTAAGATTCTAATAATGAGTAAAGTTAGCCCTGCTGGGAAACAGCTACAGAGAAAAGAAATAAAGAAGGAAGGAAGAAGGAAAAAAAAAAAAAAAAAAGCAAGCTAGCTAGCTCACAGTCCAGATAGTAGATTTGATGTTTATGAATTTCTGGGGCTGGTTGGAGGTATAGAACTAGGGTTTTCTTTAAAAATGACTGGCAATATGTCCATTAGCCCAAGCTCAGAGAGGCTGGTCATTCTGAACAGCAACTACAACAACCAACCCTGCGTGTACTAGACAGAGAAATTGCTTTTTCTGTTTGTTTTCTATTTCCCAGTGTCTCTGGAATCCTTTTATTGGTCTAATTTGTCTTTGTTGGTAGTTGCAGCTGGAAAGTCAATCACCTCCATCAGTTCAGGCCCTAATAGAGCCATTCAGGCCTCACGATTGCTGCCGGTCGCTCACAGGCACACCGCCTCAACTCTCTGCAGTCTTTTGAGAAAGCCTTCCCATTAAGGATGGTCACACAGTCCCTGCTCCTGAGGCTGGTGAAATCGATTATAATATCAAACCTTAAAGAACAAGAAAAAAATCAACTTAAATAAAATGTAATTCTAAAATGAATATGAAGCACACAGCAACTGCATAGGTAATATTCCTAGGGTGACATAATTATAAAATGGGTACAGAGAGTGATTCTAGTGGAAAGATAGTGCAGCAAAGCACTTGCTTTCCAACCTCTCAAGTTACATGTCTTTCTTAAAAATGGCATGGCAGGTTACCCAGACCTACATAAACTGTTTCTAACTAAAACTAAGACATATGCTCCAATACAAAATTATCATATGAGATATATATCATCGACTCGATCCCGACCCAAAGCGACCTTGTATAAGATTTCCAAAGAGCACCTGGTGAGCTTGAACCACTAACCTTGCAGTTCAAATGACTAGTCTGATGCATTAGCCCACAGCACCACACCAGGACTATATATATCTTTTACATTTGGAAAACTAGCTTCTATGTGACTTAGTTTACTTAAATAAGAATAATTAGATTTAGATTTTTCTATCCTCTGGGAGAATAAATGCTATATGGTATGTAAAGAAGAAAGATATCTGTTAAAACATGGGTTTAAATTATAATATAATTTTGTTGTGGAAATTACATTTAACTGCTTCAAAAGATATTATGCGTACTCCTAAAAGTTCACCCTATGAGTGAATTTTATAAAATGTTCATTATAAAAAGTTACATTTTGATAATATTGCTGTTAATATTAAAAGTAGATCTAATCAAAGACTATTTCTTACAGTTGTGTTCCAAATTCCACTGTACAGAAAGTAAAAAAATCTGAGGTTTAATGATTCCTTTGGCATTAACAACTTGCATGATCTTAGTTAAGTCACCATTAAAACCTGGGTTTGTTCTAGGAGAGAAAAGACCCCAAATTCAAATATATTTTAGAGTGACCCTTTTAATAAATCTTAGGACAAAGACAAGAATATCATCTAGATGAGAGAGACAATCAGCATGAGTCCAGAATGGTGTCCAAAAGATTCACAGCCATGTAACTAGCTATATGGTGGTGGTGGTGTTATGCCCAGAATTCGGAGTCCCCAAAGACCACCAAGGAGCCAACATCGATGCAAGTGCACAAGGGTTGTTTATTCAAGCTCCAGCTTGGACTCCACCTGCATCCAACGCAGCAGATGAGGGATGGAGCCTCGATCTCTCAGTTATTCATGCTCAAGCTAGGACTCCACCTGCATCCAACTCAGCGGATGAGGGTTGGAGCCCCGAACCATTTGTCTGTGGGGTTTTTATAGAGTTTTCAAACAAGCTCAGGATTTTTCAGCTTTACAATATTTGGACTGGTTGACATTTGACAAAGTATGAGATGTTACAGTTTAATTGGTCAGTACTGATGGTCTTTTGTTCTTAGACTAGGATAAGGAAAACATCTGGCATCTGGCCTTGGGTTGTCCTGTCTACTGCTTATCTAGTTCTTGCTGTTGCTAGGGGTGAAAGGATATTCTAAGGCAGCATGAGCTGATTTAGCACGTTCCTGGAACAGGAGGACGTGTTCAGGCTAATATACAGAATGGAGTCTTTTTCTTGGTCCTACAGTGGCTATGTGCCGTGGAGTCGGTTCCAACTCATAGCAACCCTGTACAGGGTTTCTGTGGCTGTAAATCTTTACCGGAGCAGAAAGCCTCATCTTTGTCTTGTGGAACAGCTGGTAGTTTCTAACTGCTGACCTTGAGGTTCGCAACCCGATTCTGTAATCACTACGCTACCAGAGCTCCTTAATTAACTATATTGTGTTGTTAAGTGCCGTCAAGTTGATTCTGACCCTGTATAGAGTTTCCAATCAATAGGTGGTGAGTTTGAACCACTGACCTTGCAGTTCAAACGACTTTGCAGTCTGATGCATTAACCCACAGAGCCACACCAGGACTCCAACTAACTATACAGAACATGGAAATTGTCACAAAATCATGATTGGTGGCAGATCAACACATCACTGTCACAGGTGAGACTACCAAAGGGGTAAGGGGACCATGATCGGGATATATATACTGTTGTTGTTGTTATTGTTGTTATGTGCCGTGGAGTCTGTTCCAACTCATAGCAACCCTGTACAGGATCTCTGAGGCTGTATATCTTTACAGGATCAGAAAGCCTCATCTTTCTCCCATGGAACAGTTGGTAGTTTCAAACTGCTGGCCCTGAGGTTAGATTCGTAACCACTACACTACCAGAGCATATTAAAATACCTCACAGCATTGACCAGAGTGTGATTCATGTGACTCTTGTATGCTAATTTCCAATAAAGCCATGCCCAAGCACATCCTTGAACTTTAGACTGCTCCTCCCTGGACTAGCCAGGGGAGTTTGCCTGAAGGCAAAACTTTTTACATTGCTAATTAATGGTCAGAATGAATTCAATGGAGCCTAGATTTATGTTAAGATTCAAACTACAGTGTGCTTCCACTATGAATTTGTCACCAAAATCAAGAGCTTAGAATTTAAACTCTGTGAAGAGTCAGAGAAAAAGAGGAAGACCCACAGCTAGATGGATTGGCAAAGTGGCAGCATCAATAGGTTCAAGCATGGCAACAGTAGTGAGGTTGGCCCAGGATGTGGCAGTGCTTCATTCTGCTGTGCATAAGGTTGCTATGAGTCTGTACTGACTTGACGGCACCTAACAACAACAACAACAGGCTTAATTGGAGTCCGTGTGGCACTGTGGATTAATGCACCAGACTGCAAAGCCTTTTGACAGTTCAAGCTGACTAGCTGCTCCTCAGAAACCTTATACAGGGTCACTATGGGTCGGAACTGACTCGATGGCACTTAACGACAACATCAGCAGGCTTTAATTAAGTCACACAGTTCACAAGGTCAGCAGTTCAAATCTACCAGCTATTTTGAAGGAAAAGACTACGTTTTCTGCTTTTGTAAAAATTTGTGGCTTCAGAAAGCCTACACTGGGTCATTGTGTGTCAGGATTGACTGGATGGCAGTGGGTTTTGTTTGGGGAAAGAATTAATAAGTTCTCTCTCAAACCCCACTCCCATCTTTATAAAATATATATCATTCAAAGATTAATCTCAAACTCCTAATTTTTCCTTTAGTGACATCAGTTCCTGGGATAAATGTGAGAACACCAGAGAACTGCCTTTGATAGTTTACTAATATTGAGTATCTGTCTCCCTTACTAGTTTATAAGACATTTAAAAACAAGGCTATACTCTTCCTACAAATAAGTACAGTATCCAGTACAAAACAGATGTTTGATTGAATTATTGAACCAAATCCTTGAACTTTATCACTCAAATAAAATCTCTCTATCAACAAAAAGAAATATCTTTCCCACAAAATGTTCTGAAGGCTTACAGTTCAGATGAGTAATGGGCTCCGTCCATCCACAGCCAGGCCTTGCCACTACCGTTGCGGGAAAGCCCTGTCCAATAAGAGTAGAAAAACTCAGAGTAGCTCTGAGGCATGGCAAACTCCTGTGAAAGGCACACAAGAAACCTTTTAACATTCTGCTGTCATAACATATCTGTATAGAGATGTATAAGGACAACAAATTCTTAAGGAGACTAGCATGAGTCCTACCTAAGAACAACAGCAAAAATCAGTACTATGGTCTGTAAGTAAGTTGACCAACTAAAACACTTATTTACTGAATCATGGAACATTTACTGATATTTTGAAACAAAGAATTATAAAAACAGAGATTTATAAATGAGTTATTATTTTCAAGATTAAACACTAAGGCTAATATAAAAATGTAGGTGGATTTATAGATGAAAGTGAAGTGATAATGGGAAATGGGAGAATATGACAGAAAAGGAAAGAAATAGGAAAACGTTGTGGATTGAATTTTGTCCCTAAACATATGAATTATAATTCCAAAACCTTGTACCTTTGGTTGGAGTCCTGGTGTGGCGCTGTGGGTTAATGCGCTGGACTGCAAGGTTGGTTTGAACCACAAGGCCAAAGGTTCAAGCTCACCAGCCGTTCCTCAAAAATACTATACAGGGTCGCTATGAGTCAGAACCAACTCCATGGCACTTAACAACAACAATACCTTTGGTTTGGAGTCCTGTTGTAGCACTGTAGGGTAAACACTGGACTGCCAGTCAGTTTTTAGAATCCCCCTACAGGGTCACAATGAGTTGAAACCAATAGAATTTAGCAACATGCCTATGGTTATAATTCCATTTGGTATTGAGTTTTATTTGTTATGCTATCAAGGCAGTGTTAGTGTTATTGTTGTTAAGTGAGGTCCAGTCAGTTCCTACTTATAATAAACCCATATAGGTATTTTGAGGCTGTAAATCTTTGTGGGAGCAAAAAGTCTCATCTCCTACATCTGAAGACATTATTTAAAGCAATGAGAATAACACGTGACTACAATTAGTAAGTAAATCTGTAGCCAAATATCCTTGACTCCTTAAAATCTAGTCTAGCTCTTGTAAGGGCTTTACAAATGAGAATCTCTCAAACATGGACAAAGCGTCAGGACCTCACCAGCACTTCTTCTGTATTTATCTTCAGCATGGTAGAGTTCTCAGCAATGCAGAAATATTCACATCCCTGCCAATCCTTGCTTTCTTTATAGAATTGGTAACATTTGTTCCCATGCCACTTCCATTTTTCTGGACAAGGGCTGCACCTGTGTTCTTGGAAAGAAACAAAATTTAGAAAGCTCCGATCTACCTGGGTCTACAGTCTTTCCTTTGTTGAAATTAAATAGTATTTGATAAGCCAAGGAAGAATCACTTCCTTTTCTTTTTGGTATTTGATCACCTATGCAATGATTATGACAGATAAATGCTGCATACTCACTATCTGATAGTAAGAACCTGATGTAGTGCTGTAGGTAAGCACTGGACTGCTAACCACAAGGTTGGCAGTTCAAACCCACTAGCAGCTCCTTGGAAACCCTACAAGGGGTCACTGTGGGTTGGAACCAACTTGATGATACTTAAGAACAACAGCAACAATATACAGGGATAATAAAAGAGACACACTACCTGTTTGCATGAAGTTTGGAGTCACAGATGACTGGAATTTACGTGACTTTTATATAATTTTGCATACATAATATTGTTGCATAAAAAGCTTTTCATATGTTCATAAGGTCAATATGCATGGGATTTAAGAAACAATTAACATATATATTTCCCCACACACACCAAATCTCTTCTAAGATAGTTGTTGTTATTGTTACGTACCATCAAGTTGGTTCTGACTTATAGCAACCTATGCACAACAGAACAAAACACTGCCCAGTTCTGTACTATCTTTACAATTATGATTATGTTTGAACGCATTGTTGCTGCCACTGTGTCATTCCGTCTTGCTAGGGGTCTTCCTCTTTTTCACTAACACTACACTTTTCCAAACATGATGCCCTCTCCACACACTGCCTTTGATCTTCATCAGTAAATATTTCAAGTCTTCTTCACCTCCATCAAGCAAAGTTGTGTGATCTATAATTCACAGGTTGTTAATGACTCTTCTTCTAACCCGAATGCTACATTCTTCATATAATCCAGCTTCTTAGAATAATTGCTCAGGCTGAAGATTGAATAAGTATAGTGACATGACACAACTCTGTTGCACACCTCTTTAAAAAAAAAAAAAAAACACAAACCCATTCAGTATTCCTTGTTCGATTATAACTACTGTCTCTTGTTGTATGTACAGATTCCTCATTAACACAATGAAGTGTTCTGTAATAACCATTCTTCGTAATGCTATTCATAGTTTGTTATTCTTCAAACAGTTGAATATCTTTGCATAGACAATAAAGCACAAGGTGAATCTGATGTCAATAATGATATCCATAGTTTCCAAGTCCTCTTTGAATCCGCTTTGAATATCTGGTATCTCCCTGTTGGTGTACTGCTGCAACCGTTTTGTAATTATCTTCTGCACAATTTTACTTGCATATGGCTATAATGATATTGTATGATATTTCTGCATTCTATTAGGTCACCTTTCTTTGGAATGGGCACAAACATGGATCTCTTCCAGTCAGTTGGCCTGGTAGTTTTCTTCCGAATGTCTTGACACAGATAAGTGAACACCTCCAGTGCTGAATCTTTTTGTTAAAACATTTCAGTTGGTATTCTGCCAATTCTGGAGCCTTGTGTTTCACCATTGCCTTCAGTACTGCTTGGACTTCTTTCTTCAGTACCACCAGTTTCTGATCATATGGTACCATTACAATAATTGAGCATCAAACCAATTCTTTTTGGTACAGTGTCTCTGTGTATTCCTTCAATCTTCTTTTAATGTTTCCAGTGTCATTCAATATTTTGTCCAGATAATGACACAGAATGTAAATGTATTAAATGAACCAGTTGAGAGAAAAAGTAGCAGAATGAATAAGAAAGAAGGATCCGTCATATACAGTTTATAAGAGCAAATAATGATGAACTTGGTAAACACCTCATTACATGGATAAACCTGGTGGACATTGTTGTTGTTATGTGCCGTGGAGTTGGTTCCAACTCATAACGACCCTGTACAGGGTTTCCAAGGCTGTAAATCTTTACAGGAGCAGAAAGCCTCATCTTTCTCCTGCAGAATAGCTGATAGTTTTGAACTGCTGACCTTGTGGTTCACAGCCCAATTTGTAACCACTATGCTACCATAGCTCCTTATGCTGAGTGAAATTGTTGTTATTGCTATGTGCTGTCGAGTCAATTCCAACTTATAGTGACCCTGCATAGGCTTTCCAAGACTTTAACTCTTTGAGAGAGCAGAAAGCCTCATCTTTCTCCCTCAGAGCAGCTAGTGGGATCAAACTGCAGACCTCAGGGTTTGCTGTCCAGTACTTATCATATGGAGCCACCCCATTTCTGACTCAGTCACAAAAGAGCAAATATTGTATGAGACTACTATTGTAAAAATGCAAGAAGAGTTATCACACTAAAAGAAACATTACTTGGTGGTTACCAAGGGTTGCAAAGAAGGAAGAGTAATTCACTGGCTAGGAGTGGACACGTATTAACTTGGGGTAACTTGGGTGAAGGTAATATATCCATGTGAGGTTATTGAAAATACCATGTCTTGAGTCAGGCGCACCTTAGTCCTCAAGCTGACATCTCTGCTCTTCAATACTTTAAAAAGTTCCTGTGCAGCAGATTTGCCCAATGCTCTGATAGCGTAGTGGTTACGAATCGGGCTGCGAACCTTAAGGTCAGTGGTTCGAAACTACCAGCCGCTCCACGGGAGAAAGATGAGGCTTTCTACTCCCGTAAGGATTTACACCCTCGGAAACCCTGTACAAGGTCGCTATGGGTTGGAACCGACTCGACGGCACTTAACAACAACAACAACATTGTTAGGTGCTATCAAGTCAGTTCCAACTCATAGAGAACCTATCACAACAGAATGAATCACTGCCAAGTCATGCATCATCCTCACAATTGTTGTTATGTTTGAATCCACTGTTGCTGACACTTTTAGTCCATCTCATTGGGACTCTTCCTCTTTTGGTGACCTTCTACTTTTCCAAGCATGATGTCCCTCCTGAAAACATGTCCAGAGTATGAGACACCAAGTCTTACCATCCTTGCTTCTAAGAATCATTCTGACTGTACTTCTTCCAATATACATTAGTTTGTTCTTCACATAGGTATATTTGTTATTGTTCAGTGCTGTAGAGTCAGTTCCATTTCATAGTGACCCTATGAGTGTTTCCAAGGAGTGGCTGGTGAGTTTGAAGCACCGAACTTGTGGTTCAAACTGACCTTGCAGTCCAGTGCTTTATCTCACAGCACCACACCAGGACTCCAGGGTTAGATTTGTTGTTGTTGGGTGCCGCCGAGTTGGTTCCAACCCATAGCGACCTTGTTTCTGAGAAGCTGATGAGGGCTTGAACTGCTGACCTTTAGGTTCAAATTGACTTTTCTGTCCAGCGCATTAACCCACAACACCAGGACTCCCAGGTATATAAGCTGTTGTTGTTATGTGCCATTGAGTTGGTTCCCACCCACAGTGACCCTGTACAGGTTTCTAAGGAGTGACTGGTGAGCCTTAGCCTTATGGTTCAATCTGATTTCACAGTCTAGCACATTAACCTGGGGAACAAACACACTAATAAGATACGCATAACATAAAATGGTCACCCATTCGTGATCCAAAGGGCAGCATTTACTCTAGGATAGACTTAGAAAGAGCTGGGAAAGAAGGAGGAATTGAAAAAAGAAACACAGGGACAAAGTGGAATGTGATGTCATAATGAAGGGACTGCAATCATTGAGATGAGTTGAAGTATATGATTCGTTGAATGTAAAACTAATGACCTACTCTGTAAGCCTTCATTCAATTCACAATTGTTGTGGTTATGTGCCGTGAAGTCAGTTCCAACCCATAGTGACCCTGTACAGAGTTTCCGAGGCTGTAAATCATTGCGGGAGCAGAAAGCCTCATCTTTCTCCCACGGAACAGCTGGTAGTTTTGAACTGCTGACCATGAAATTAGCAGTCTGACTCATAACCACTTATCAATTCACAATAAAAAGTTAAAAAAAAAAAAAAAAGATAGGGAGAGGTGCATGAAAGACTAGGAGTCTTCATCTTATTTTTGAATTCCAAAAAGATAAAAAGAAAAGAAAAATGAAGAATTAAAAATATGTATAGCTTCCTATATACATATATGTATGTTAAAGAGAACAGAAGGGAGGGCTGACCTAAACAAAGTAGACCACCCTGAAATCAAAAGACGATAAGCACTAATTTTTATAGAAAATAAAGAAATAAATAAGACTGAGATTATGCATCTAGTGTTAATTAAAGCATTGCTCACCTACTATTGGCATTGTAATCATAGCAGTCCAAAGCTAAATTCTGATTTTTGGTAACTAGACAAGTTTTACTGAAGTCAAATAGTACCTTGCTTAAGATTTCAGAGTATGACATCTCATATTGCTTATATTCAAATTTGTACTCTAGTACATAATACATTCGAATCAGGCTCTCTCCATTTTTAAACTGATCCACATACAAGTCTTAAATTTTGTAAACTAGAGTTATGAGATTGTTAACTTCTAATTGGGAAGGGATTCATGACCACATTATGAAATATATCTCATCATTAGATTTCTATATGTCAAGATAAATTGAGAAATATCTTTTATTTACTTAGGGTGCTGATTTGATTCTTCTAAATCAATTCCTTTTATAATTAAAAATTTCTGAATTTAAAGAATCCATTCATGTACTGCAACTCAGATATACTTCAACCACATGATTCCAACATCCAGTGCTGATCTTGATAGCCAAACACTTTGTGGAGTTTTTCAGGCAATTAATTAAAGAATACATGATTCCCAGATAATAGCCCTCCATTGCTAGAGATCATGTAGGTAAAGTGGAGACCTGGTGAAACAAACACACTTACCTCCAGTTTTGTTGTAGAGCTCACGACAGAGTTTTTCAGCCACACGCTGCAGAGTTTCTGTAAGCTTGCTGTTCTGAGCTTGAAGGGACCGCAACTGTTGGGAGAGATTCCCCAATCTTTCTTCCTTTTGAGCGATGTTGTTTTGTTGAGTAATGGAGAGCTGGTAGAACTGAAAAACTAACCCAAGTCACCAAGTCATACTGGGCAGATTACATTTTGGGAATCTGTCTTTTTCTACATATGGAGAAGTCAAATAACATATTGCTTAAGATCTTAGACTCTGAGATCTCATATTGCCTATATTCAAATTTGTGTTCTAGCACATAATAAATGGTATGATTTTGAACAAATTTATTTCTCTAAGGCTACTTATTATCTCACTTGAAAATGTGGAGTCATAAAAGCAGTGCCTAGTTTTTAGAATAAATTTCTAAACCATATTCACTTTCACTCAATAAATTCTTTTAGACACTCTGAAGCTATTACTCAAGCTAAAACCACAAATTTATATTTTTATTAATCATTATATTGAGCATTGAGTATCTGTAGTTATTGTTAAATGCCATTGTGTTAGTTCTGACTCACAGTGACCCTGTATAGGGTTTCCGAGTAGTAGCTGGTTGAGTTGAACTGACAACCTTGTGGTTAGCAGTCCCATGCTTATCCTATAGCACCACACCAAGATAGTACTTAAAATTGCTATATCATCACTCCTATAATGTTATATATTTGCAATTAAACTCAATGAAAAACAAGTAATTTTCTTAATAACACTAATCTAAAATATGGGTAGTATGGTAATCCTAGAGGATAAGTGCTAGACTGCGTACCACCACATCTGTGGTTTGGGTCCACCAACCATTCCATGGAATAAAGATGAAGTGTTCTACTTCCACAATGATTTATAGTCTTGGAAACCCTGTATGAGTGGGAACAAATTTGACGGCATTTAACAAAAATATTGTCATTTGTATATTTAAAACTCTGAGGTTTAAATCTGTGTAGAGACCACTCATGAATCATGAAAATAACTTTATAGCCCTAAAACTGTTGTGGTTAAAAAGTAACAGTTTATACTATCAAAATTAATTAAAGAAAATAAGGAGTCAGGAGAAAAATAATAAGAACCAGGATCCTCTCTCAAGTCAGAGCACAGACTTACACACAAGACCCAGGGCTGCGAGGCCAGTCAGTAGCACCAAGCACAAAGTCAACAGGGTCAGGGCCGCTGGTCGCCACGCTGAAGAAGGAACCTGTTGCTCTGTAGAAAATAAAAGAAATGGAAGTTTTGCTTTTCCTTTCTCTTAGATCTAATTTAGCAGCAAGCAAGTCAGAGGAGTTGCTTCTGGACAGAAACAAATTATGCAGGACAATGGTAAGCAATAGGGAACTAACTTCCCCTCTGTCATAGGCTCAATACCAAACTTCACTCATAGCTAGATACTTTTCTCATACCACCTCATTCTACTATCCCTTAAGTTCCATTTTGCCCTAGATCAAGCTATTGTCATGATCTTTATAAGATTATTTGCATAATTCAGTTTTTCTCAAAATCTCTTGAAAATGCCTGAAATGTATTCTGAGAATTCTTGGGTCTTATTAAGGAACATTTCCATCACCATCACCACCACCACTCCCCTCCCCCACAACAAAGCTTATAAGGAAGCAGATGGAATTAATTTGCTGTTACTTTGACAAAAAATTTCTCCCACTCAAATTCCACATACGCTTTTCCAAAAATCCAATTGACTATCAGTAACAGGAAAAAAGATTAGTAGTTCTCTTTCGAAGGCTTGTTGTTGTTTTTGAAAGGTCTTTTTTGTGAGGATGATATTCATTTGATTTGTATCTCTCCAAAAACAGACTACACAGATATGTGGCATCCTTTGCTCAAGGATGTATCTAAGTTGCTTGAATTCTTGCACTAGTTAAATAATAATAATAATAATAAAGCTATGGCCAGCATCCAGTCTTTGCCCAACCTCCACAGATCTGCCTCTTGGTACCTGCAGAAACTTCACTCTGAGTCTGAGTAACCTCTGTGAGATGTCTGCAGCAGTCGCCTCCAATCAGGTGCAAGGAGGAGCTAAAGTTCTGATTAAGTGAAACAAAGGTGAGTGAAACTCTGGAATAAACCTCTCTTGGTGCCCTGTGAGTTTCAATCCATTATGAATTCCAGTCAGCCTCCAAAATAGAAATATTAAACAGATATAAATAGTTTTCTCTCTAGCAAGTTTCTCTCCTCAATCCACTAGGTACAGAGATCTGTACTAAGCATTATTTTCAAATAGATAATGACAAAGAATGGGTTTTCCAGAACACTTCATTGTGCTCATGAGGAACATATATACACAGACCAAGAGGCAGTCATTCAGAAAGAATGAGGAGACGCTGAATGGTTTAAAATCAAGAAAGGGCTGCATTCTTTTACCATACTTATTCAATCTATATGTTTGAGCAAATAAACTGGGAAGATCGAGTTTATGAAGAAGTATTTGGCATCAGGATTGGTGGAAGACTCATTAGTAATTTACAATATGCAGATGAAGCATCCTTACTTGCTGAAAGAGAAGAGGATTTAAAATACTTTCTTATGAAAGTCAAACACCACAACCTTCAGTATAGGTTGCACCTTAATGGGAAGAAAGCAGAAATCTTCACCACTGGACCAGCATATAACATCATGATAAATGTAGAAAAGATTGAGGTTGTCAAAGACCTCATTTTTTTGGGGGGGATACGCTATCAACACTCATGGATGCAGCAGTAAAAAAATCAGATGACATATTGCATTAGACAAATCTGCTGCACAAGACGTCTTTAAAGTGGTCAAAAGTAAAGATATCAATTTGAAAATTAAAACCCTAGCTATGATATTTTTAATATGTGTGGGAAGTTGAACAATGAATAAGGAAGACTGTAGAAGAATCGATACATTTGAAAAGTACCATGAACTTCCAGAAGAACAAACAAATCTGTGTTGGAAGAAGTACAACCAGAATGCTCTTTAGAAGCCAGGATGAATCAGGTCTCATACTTCTGACATATTATCAGGAGTAACCAGTCACTGGAGAAGGACATCATGATTGGTAAAGTAGAGGGTAAGCAAAAGAGGACAATCCCCAATGAGATGGATCTGTACAGTGGTAATAGCAATGGGCTCAAGCATAAAAACAATTGTGAGACTGGCATAGGATCGGGCAGTATTTAATTCTGTTGTGCATAGGGTCACTATGAGTCAGAACCAACTCAATGGCACTCAACAACAACAACAACAATGACAAGTAGTAAAGATAGTATACCAAAGTAAACTCATTGCCATCAAGCAGATTCCCACACATAGAGACCCTGAATAGAGTTTCTGAGGCTGTAAATATTTATGGGAGCAGAAAGCCTCATCTATGAATTGACAACATTGAACAATGGTAACAGTCCTTTGCTTATTGTACCGAGTCACCAGGGCTCCTTAAAATAGTGTAGATATAAAAGATCTGATCACTATCCTCTGGGACTTATAATTTAGAAGAAATAAGTAAGAATCAGAGTATACACATGGGTATAGTTTGTAATTTGAATAATTTTAGCCCCTAATAATCACCTTCTTCCTAAAAACTTTCATAACATTTAGAATTAAATCCTACCTCTTTTCACACAAAGCCAGATGATTCTTTGAAAAGATGTAAATTTTACTAAGATATTTTCTTATTTTAAAACATTCAGTTGCTCAAGTGCTCTATTGTAAACTGAAAAGCCAAGGATTAGAACCCACCAGCTACTCCACTGCAGAAAGATGTGGTAGTTTGCTCCCGTAGATTTCAGCCTTGGGAATGAAGCTAGGGGGCAATTCTCTGTTCTATAGAGTCGCTGTGAGTCAAAATTGACTTGATGGCTATGGGTATGGAATTGTCCATAGAACAAACCCTACAATATTCTCATTCACCTGGTCTCTGTCTAGTTTTTATACCACTTTCTGAACCATTCTTCTCTAATGCAAATGCCCTGCTTACAGTGGCTTTCTGTTTTGTCTGATCCACACACTTGAATCTGCCTAAGTACCTGTGGATTAGTTCTGCCTCTGCATTAATTAATTTTCATATCAGACTACTTCCTATTAACTCAGCTTTTGTTGTAAATGGTATATGCTGGGGAGAGGCCATGCATCCATCTCTAGCACAGCAACCTCTTTAGTGTTGTTTTTTTTTTGGTTTTAATTACTATATTATATTTTCATAGCTTTTGTTTGGTTGGTTTTTATCTGTCTCCTCGTCATAGAATATATATTCTGTTGAAGTAGAAGTAGACTTGTCTATCTTGTTAACCAGTGTATTTCCAGCACTGTAAATAGTACCTGATATATTGTTGTTTTTTTGAGTGCTGTCACGTCAATTTCGACTATAGCGACCCTGCACAAGCCCTTTTTAAAGTGTTGAAGAGCAAAGATGTCAGCTTGAGGACTAAGGTGCACCTGACCCAAGCCATGGTATTTTCAATAACCTCATAGGCATGCAAAAGCTGGACAGTGAATAAGGAAGGCTATAGGAGAATTGATGCTTTTGAGTTATGGTGTTGGAGGAGAATATTGAAAGTGCCATGGGCTGCCAAAAGAACCAACAGATCTGTGTTGGAAGAAGTACTGCCAGAGTGCTCCTTAGAGGCCAAGATGGTCAAACATCGTCTCTCATAATTCAGACATATTGTCAGGAGGGACCAGTCGCTGGAGAAGGATATCATGTTTGATTAGGTGGAAAGTCAGAGAAAAACTCCAATGAGATGGATTGGCCAAGAGGCAGCATCAATGGGCTCAAGAATAGCAACAGTAGTGAGGTTGGCCCAGGATCGGGCATCGTTTCGTTCTGTTGTTCATAGGGTCGCTATGAGTCAGTACCAACTCAATGGTACCTAACAACCACAACAATAGATTTTCCAAGGAGTGGCTCGTGAGCTTGAACCACCAACCTTGCAGTTCAAACTGACTTTGCAGACCAGTGCATTAACCCACAGCGCCACACTAGGACTAGTGCCCAATACATAGGGATGAATAAATATTTGAGTGAGTAAATGGATAAATAACTAAATCACGAGGGATCAATATTTCCTAAATGATGTAAGTTTTAAAGAGACCCTGTGAAGCACAGTTCTGACACACATCATGGTGTTTCCATGAATCAGAATTGACTCCAAGCAGCTGATATGGTGTTGGTGCATCTGCTCAAACTTATTTTCATTAATACACATCTCAAAGGCATAGAAAATAAAGAATCCTTCTCTTTTATGTTTAATATTCCCCTTGCCAAAATGAGAAATAATAAAAAGAGGATGAAGAACCCTGGAAATCAACCTAATATGGATCCCTAAAGAACTACTTGTACTTGCATAATCAAGGTGGCAAGGGAATTTTATGCCAAAGGATCTAAAAAACTGAATTAAATCTTTTCTCTGAAGTGATTCCCTAGGCTTTGTGGAATTACAACATTTTCCAATAATAATTATATCCAGGAAAATAATAAATACATGATTCCTCCTTGGGGATTGCCTCTAGGACAGAAAAACAAAGAGTTTGTCTCCTCTAATGGATTCAGTTGCTTCAAATTCCCTTTCAAGAATTATCTTTTCCAGGCTAAATTTGGAGAGTTTTCTACTCTGGCTCAGCACTCTTCCCACTTCTTACAGTAGGTCCCTGCTTGTTTCTTTGAAAGACCTCTGCAAACACCAGAGAGTCTCTATGGCTGGTACTACCATTTCCTAGGAAAAAAGACTTTCATGAGGCAAGGACTATGAGGTTGAAAGTTTCTTTTACTTCTTTCTCATTCATGGCATTTCTGCCTCTAGGTGTTTTTCTCTTAACTCTAGGTCTAATGTTTCTGAGTTTTCTTCCAAGTGCCCTTGATGGTAATGAAGTCTTTCTCTAGGGATCACTCCACCCTAGAACAAGACAGATTTTCACAAAAATAAGCTGCCTAGGAGGTGCTTCAGTTTGGCTTGGCTCTATCATGGTTTTATAATTTGGAAGAGAATCTCTTTGCTATCTCCAGAGGCATGTTTAGCAAAGAGGTGTGGACAAGGTTAGGAATGGTATAAACATCCCTAGGAATAATAAGATATATATAGAAAACAAACATCCCTTTCCTGTATCCTCTTACTATAACCATACTATAAAAGGCTATAGTGCCAGGGTCAAATTCTGAATACAAATGCCTTTGTAGTTATATGAAACTTTGCAGATGAAGTGAAATGTCATATTTAAGCAATTACTCTTCATCA